TAATGATCTTTAAAAAAGCATCATATGACCCCTTTAATAAAAATGACGTCTCTGAAGTCTCCTCGAAATTTTGAATGTCACCCTTATTGGACACAGCCAGCTCAGTTAATGGAGTAGTGTACGGCATATGAGTTCATTTAGCTATGTTAAATAAAGGAGACATCTAAAATGTGCATTGCTGGGGAGGATAGGGAACAGTCTGAAAACCCATGATGTAGAGCTTTTTAAAATGGGCATTATTTCAAACCAGCTTTCCACAGATGGAAATCAAAAAAAGTTCGGAACAAAATGGCAATAAGAAAATGATAAGAGAATTAGAGTTTATACAGAGTACAAAGTTTTTTTTCTTTTACACTAACATATTGTTTTTGTTTTCCTAGCAAATGTTTGCCAAAAAGTATAATAATAAAAATGGTCATAGTAGTAAAATTAATAATAAATACATTTAAAAAATAAATAAAATAACAAATAATAATGTGGACAAATAACTAACACTCTGAAACAGTTCTCACCATTGGTTAAACTGCTCCGAAGAAAATCCCTCTCATTTTCCACATCTTTGCATTTTTCTTCTAGGAACTTAACTTTAGACTTCAAAAAAGAGTTTTCTTCTTTGAGTTTATTGATGGTCACCTGTTGGGTTGGTGCTTGTGCTGGAATATAAAACAAACAAATAATCTATCAAACATAATTCAGAATGTGTTTAACACATGAAACACACATTGTTTAAAAACTATAAAGTTTACATAAATAGTCTCCAAGTTTAACAGCAACTCACTTTCATGTCTTTGGGGAGATAAGGATGATTTATTTTTAATCTGACAGCCTGTTATTATAATCATCTAACATGATCATTACGTTATAAATATATTTAAACATTATATGTGAAATTCGCAAAAATGTATGTACCTATTTAATAAGATTAAGCTTTTTTTAATGAACGGGGAAAAAAACACAATTAGTCATTAACATTAACAAGTGTCAGGTGCCAACCTTTATGCATCGCTATGCAAATAACGTTAAATACATAAAATAAAATCCACCAGGATTCAGTAAGGATACCTGGCGAGAAAGGAAAATCATGTTTTTGTAATAATGACATAATAATAATTACATATTTAGTATTGGGGTACCGGACGTGCAATTATATGCTTAAGCCTATAATATCATAAATGATGACGATAATGTTGGCCTTGAACTTAAATTACCTAGATACCAACCTAGATAGCTAGCTTGCTAAAAAATTGTCAACGGCTGCTTATAACCAAAAAGATTATTCAACTCAATCTCAACTCTGGCCCTTGAAATCCACTTTCAGCCTTATCAAACACACCTGAACAAGCTAATCAAGGTCCCCAGGATTACTGGATCTCGAGGGCCACAAGTCGTGAACACTGGACACGATACCAACACCAAAGAAACATAAATGACACAATACATTACCGGCTTCTTCCTTGTCTTCCTCAATAAGTCGATATGGGGCTTTTCTCTTGCGAACAGTTTTACGCTCTTCCTCCGTCGCCATGCTGTCTTCTGATTGTGAACTATCGCATTCGCTAACTCCAATATGGCGACGCGTCAACGCAACGTTGCAGAAACTTCCATCTCTGCACGTGAATTCTACTGTTGGAAACGATTCTTCGAGTGTATTGCCCCAATACGATATGTAGTTGACCGTAGGCATTATT